ATTATAAAACAGTTCCATTAATAGCATTGGCCAGTTATGATAAACTAGAAAAAGGCAGGAACAGCAAAGCTTAGCTTCTGAGATTTGTTTATACAGTATATTTTGTAGCAAAAAAAATCTCATCTATAAAGTTTAGAAGTAAAAATGGAATTCAATAGGTAGTGCCAAACAATTGTAACACCTCTTCATTATTTCTGTTTATAAGAGGTATAAATCACTGACTTAGAGCAGAGTGGAGAAACAAAAAAGCAGAAACCGAAACATGCCCTTAAAAGGCATCACTACTGCTGCAGCTGCTCAAGCACAGCTACTTAGCTGAAAAGGATAACGATGACATTGTATGCGAATTGCCTGCAATGTTCAATATGGCAGTACACGGGGCATGTGTGTCTGCAGGTTTGTATCTTAATTCTTACTTGGAATTTACTGTTCTAGATACTGTTTTATTTAAACATGGTTGAGTGCAAGTGAATGCTTTGTTTTAAGAAAAAGATATATAAACTGCAGGTTTTGTTTTAGTTAGTGTGTGCATGAATGCGAATTTACCTTGATGATAAAGCCTTCCACTGTTTGGAGGAGACAAATTGATGTATAAAGATTAATCATGGATTTTGGAAGCTACAGTGTCTCTACAAGTTATGGGCAACATTACTGAATGTCATATGGTTGCATTGCTGGCATTGCAGATTGCAAAGCAGGTGTCATCCAGTTATATTTTTTTATAAAAGTAAAAGTTTGGTATATTAAAGAAAATAATCTGTGGTTTATCAGGTGCAATACTATTATAATTGAACATCAGTATATATTTAAATACGGTCTGTAGTATCTTAAAATTATACAAGTATTTTGGTTGTGTTTATTTTAGTTATTAGCATTATTTCTTTTCACTTAGACCAGAAATTTTAAGTCGTGATGGTACAGTGTGATGGTTTCAAATTTTTGCACATCTCTGAAATTTCAGCCTTCATGGCTTCGCGGATCAGTTCCCAGAGTGTGCGTGGCTCCACCCTCAGCCATGAAGACTACAGCCTTTACAGCAGTCTCAGCGAGGAGGAGCTCATCGAGATGGCCATCGAGCAGAGCCTGTCCAGTTCATCGGGACAGCAGGCTTCTGCCCCAGAACCTGCCAAGAATCCAGACATGGCAAACAATAACCAGCAGCCCTGGGTGCAAAGAGCATCATCCAACAGGCACAGACAAGATAATCAACACACCATGGGCATTTCCCGGGCCCAGAATGTGCCTCCCCCCACCAACCCACCAACCAGGTGAGAGGTGGACCCCGATGGCCAATAGGAGCAGTTGGCATTTCCTGTATGTTCAGTTATGAGTGCCTTAACTTAAGACTAGACCAGGACTTCAGTTTAAAAGCCAATCACAATTGATAAAGAGATTGAAGATGTACAAAATTTCCTTTGGGAAATCAAGCTCTGGCAAGGGAAGGAGTGCTTCACTTTTTGCCAAGGCCTGTATTTTGAATCCTAGTTGACCCTCCTCATTATGTGTTGTGTTAAACCTACCAGATGTGTTCACACAGTAACTGATATATACGAGTACTGAGTACTGTCAGAGAACACAGCAGCTGAGGCTGGGGTTATCACCCATGTAATCTGAAAGTTAAGGGTTTGATCCCCACTGTCAGAGGTTAATTTGGTTTTATTTTGTAAAAGTAAAGGAATGATGCATTAATATCATTCAAACATCTAATAATAATAAGGGAATTAAAACGTGGTGATACATACCGTAGGTGCATGGATTCTGGGAACATTTAGAGGAACCTTTCAGTCCTGCAACAGTATCATTTTCAGGAATTTGGAGTTGTGGATGTGGAAAGCTGGGAATGTTTATATAGTAGAATATTTTGACTAGTTGGAGTGTGACCAAAAGCAGATGCTGAGATTGGTGTGGATTTAAAAAGTGGTCTTGGAATAGTATATGGTTAATATAGAGTCCAGAATATTAGAGTCCACTTCTCCTTATTCATTTTTTAAGTAAAACTGCAACATATATTACCCTTTTAAATAGGAAATAGAAGACATCATAATGAGAAGAAATTTACTTTAATTGGCTTAATGTGTTAGCCACAGAAACACAATCTAAAACGATTAACTTTTTCATATATCATGGGAACTATCATATAAAATGTGAGTTATTGCATTTATAATCAAAACAGAGGTTTGCATTGTAATCCATTATTCAGTGTGTCAGACCTTTTGGCCTCATTACAATGCTTGTTATGGGTTTAATTCTTTAAAATTATTTTTATTCTTTCAATTTTTACACTTGTTAATAGACTTGTACGTACCTTATTATTTGTGAATAAATATTGTAATGAAGATTGTCCTGTTAAAGAAGCAGTGTTCCAGTTCATGTTTCAGGAACACTAATAGTTTTTTTTTCTTGACTAGTGTTTAGATAATGATGAGCTGCAGCCAAGAGTCTGCTTTAGTGAAGTGCATTCTGAACTAAAAATAGCTGTTGCTTTTCACCTAGTGTCACAGTAAATGCTATTCTCATCTTATCAGTTGTGAGCACTGGAGAAATGTCGGGCTCTTAACCAAGGAAACTTCACTGGAAACTGAACTTATTCCAGGAAAACTTCCTGCACGTGGTAACAGGACCTGCTTTGAATGAGCACAGCAGCAATTTAAAATGACGCCAATTAAGCAAAGAAAAAAAATGTTTCTCTTTGAACCAAGATGTATCTACCACCATTTTAGGTTTTAATATTTTAACACTCAAATAATGCCACCAAACAACTCACTGATTACTGACGGACTACCTCATATTTTCTTTCATGTTTCAGAGGCTGTTTTATGAGTTGTATGTGGTTGTGCAATATTTATATTTGATTGATTTGCTATTGGATTTACAATATAGGATAACTTAATATTAGAATAAAAGATTTTAAAGGTTATCAGGAGGATATGTATGAACAGAATAAAATGGGCCTCATTCCATGGTAATACAGCAAGGGGACAACTTTTTAACACTTGTGAAACATACAACCATAGTATTTCTTATGTCCCAGCTTTTTGTGAAGAGGGTCTTGTGGGCCTCACGTGCTAGTTCATAATAGCTTGATTTACTGCAAACAGACAGCTGCACAGCCTCTCTCATCACATCTTAGAAACACTAACAACAAGAGTAACAGTGTCTGCTCTCGGCAGTGTGCACCTGTCTTCATAAAGTCACCATAGGACATGCTGGTTGCTTGTCTGATTATTAATTGAAGTGGTGTCTAGACAATATTGGCCAAGGAGTCTACACTGAAAAGGAATAAGCATACGTTCTTCTATGTATGCTTATAATGTGACACGAGGTTGGAGTCACCTGTAATATAAGGACATTACTTTGTTTAACAGACCTTACATAAAAAATAAAAATCATTATTCTGACCAACATTTGTCATTAACAGCATTGGATCTACAACGAAGGTGACAGGCAAGAAATGTGTGACCACCATTGGAAGCAATAGAAGGTGTACTGTACATTTGAGATGCATGACTGGCACCAGGTTGCAGGTGCTGTCTTGTGGGATTGTGTCCCATTTCTCTCACAGAGCCTGGATACGCATGTGTCTGTACACTGGTTTCTGAGCTCAAGAAGCATTTGTCATCACAGCTCATTCTGCAAATGCTCAATGGGGCTCAAGATGGGGAAGGCACCCATGGCATTACTGTCACATTCTAATCCCGCAAGAAGGTCACTGTGTTACACGAGCAGCATGAGGACATGCATGGTTCTATAAAGACAACAAGTGAGATCCCAGGACTTAATGTACCTCTCAGGTTGTCACCAATAACTACAAGTGGAGTTCTACTGCAACTAGATATCCCTAGGCAGACTATCACAATTAGACTCATACATTGATCTCAGTGAGGACCTGTGACATCAGGTCTCCCAGGCTGTGGCCTGTCACTGACAGACTGTTTGCTTGTATTGTATTGCCAAGGTAAAAAGTGCTTGTGTGAGCATCTCCCAGTGCACTGACTTAAGCCAGCCTCCAACATACGGAAGGGAGGAAGGTTTTGACCTTTAACCAGGACATACTGGATCGTTTATTCTTGATTTTCTCCACGCTTTACATTCAACAAATTAAATATGCTCACGGCCAGTGATCAATCACTTATTACACTAACAACGTGATTTAGTGCTGATGCAACCGTAAAACTTACTCAAGTATGTCACACTCAGTCATAAAATATTACATACTGTAGATCAAAATGACACCAGAATATTTAATATCCAGATTCTATATACTTTATTTTTACATGCATTTAATGATACATTTTTGTTATTGTTTTACCCAAGCATGCAAGTACATGTGACAATTATTACAACTATTGAAAACGTGCATTAAAAAGAATGTTAAGTCCCCAAAAGATAACCAGGTCGAATGGGACAGAAAAAAAATAGGAACACACCCTATAACATAAAAATAAACTTTCACAAAATACTGCAAATGTTTACTGTTCTTTATCTGACTACTTTTTTGCTAGGCAGACAACAATCAGGAAACATGGCATCCTGGTAACAAAGCTTTTGACTTGAAAACATTCCAAAACACATTTCTAGGTAACTAAATCTTAAGTAAATATTCATGATTCTGTTGATTTAAGATTAATATTTATTTAATTCTTACCAAAAATAAAAAATTAAAACCCTAAAAACTATATCTAATAACAATACAAAAAAAAAAAACAGAAAATAACACATACATATGGGCGGAGTGGTGGCTCTGTGGCTAAGGATCTGCGCCTGTGGCTGGAAGGTTGCTGGTTTGAATCCTACTGCGTTGGGCCCCTGAGCAAGACCCTTAACCCCAACTGCTCCAGGGGCGCTGTACAATGGCAGACCCTGTGCTCTGACCCCAGGCTCTCTCCCTGTCTGTGTGTCTCATGGAGAGCAAGCTGGGGTATGTGAAAAGATAATTCCTAATGCAAGAAATTGTAAAGTATTAATAAAGTAATAATGTTAAGAATAATAATACTGAAGAATCCTCTATAAATTAATTCTAATTGGAGAAAAGACCAGAGTCCAAATTCTAATAAAGTTAACAAGAAAATAGTGAGCCCAGGTGATTAATCCAATAAGTGTCTTTGGTAATGAAAGACAGATATCATGACCCCTGAAGGGAATGATTCGTTCAACACTAATGATTTTTGACACAGAAACAACAACGATTGAACAATCATATAATACAATGTCCTGCTATAGATTGAGATACTGCAAATAAATCAAGATCCTCTCTATGAATAGCTCTCGTGTTCACTTAATTTTGTTTTTATCTTTTAGTTTAAACTATGGTGTGCACTTTATTTACCTAATGATCTGCGATCTGCTAAATATACTGTACAGTACTGGATCACTTTTAGGGTATCTTTTACAAAGGCATCGTTACTAAAATAATTTTTTTTCTACTTTTGTGTTACTGATTATTTTTTCTGTTTGACTCAATGTGCTGTTATTTTACTGCTATATTTTTTCACTAAAATATTATCTTACACAGTAATATCAAAGTATTCTTATCCACTCAGATATCATGATCTCCCAGAGAACACCCATATTAATTTTTTTTCTCACTGTTTTGTCTAATTCAGCCTAAGAGGTTTGACATGGTAAAGATCATGTGAAGCCTGTTTGTTTTATTAATTTAAGTACAATCTAATACTGAATGTTTCCTGTCATTTTCACATTGTTAAAGTCTTCAAATATTTTACCATACTTGGAATATTGCACGATGGAGAATGCAATGATATTGCATGATATTTTATTTAACAAATATTTTTAAATGTGATGTTTCTGTGACTCTCTTGAGCAACCTTTTTGTGTTAAGAGTTCATTTTCGTCATTTTTAGTTGAAACTTACCATTTCTACCATTAACCATTAGCTGATTAGATAACGATTAGCCTCAAACAAAATGATGAAAGTCCTTAAATTTGATTCCTTTTTTAGCTCCTCTATGTCTTTTTTATTTAGATTTACCAGGGTTTAATTTTGACATCCCGTACTTGTAAGCATGAATAGACGCAATTATGTATAGCTACAGTATTTATTTTATTTTGTATTACTGTATGTTCTTCTCTGTTAAAATAATTTTAATTGTTTTTACTGCTGATTTCCTGGAGATAATAACGTGATTGAAATACGAAGTGAAACTGAAAATGACGAAAATTGGATTCCTTGGAAGTGTTTATTACTTTCTTTGCTCAGTCTGGTACTGCAGATTATGTTACATTACACAGAATACCCAAACAATAGACAACATGAAAAGAGTCACTCCGGACCAATTAAAGTTTTCTTCCAAAAACATTAGCAGTGAATTGTGATATACCGATTTATTTAAACACAAACACAATTTAGGATTTCAAATAGCTACTAAATGTCGTACGTGGGTCGTGCTATTTAGTTATGTCCGAAATGAACACTTAGTTATCTTAATACCATGCGCTGTTGTATTATCTCTGCTCCGTTTAAGCTGTTTTGATTGCATTGTCAAATATGGTCATCTCAATCCTCCACATGTCAATAAGATCCGAAAATAATCGCCAACAACACAGCTGAGCCCTGCTCTTTTTCCATCTGTTCTCATTCTGCAAGAGCCTCTGTTCAACTCTGATTTAGAACCAGCCGGCGGCGTGCTCAAATAATGACTCGGTTTAGTTACTCGAAGTATTTCTCTCTCTTTCGTTCTAGCAACTCGAGTTGCAATCCCTCAGAATCTGAGAGGGGTATTGCAACCCAAAGCTATACTTTTGTCACTGGCAACGGAAAGCGATGCATCGCCTGGCGAAGATACGATGGGAGTCTAGTTGTCACCCCTCAAGTCGAGTAAGTGTCTTTGTCTGTTAACCCGCATTGTTCCTCTGCAATATACAGTATGGTGCTGAATATAATGATATAGGTGTACGTGTGGCACACAACGATATTAATTTTGAATGGAAAACATAAGGCAGTATCTTATGAGAAAGTCCGTTTTATATTTGTTTATTGAGATGGGTTGGGGATTAGGGGAGTGCGGGGATTGCATGTATTATTACTTTAATATGGGCACTAACTAACGGTGAATGAAATGGTTTAGAAAAGGAGAACATATTCAAATCATGAAGACATTTTGTAATCTCCCAAACATGTACAGTACATTTTCCCCACAAATAATGTATTGTATGTGCAATGTATAATACAACCACGATCTTAACATACTTGTGTATACGATTGTGTAATCTTCTTTAGTGGAAAACACATATAAACCACTGCTACCGTCAAAGCAATATTCCAGTTCAATATAAATGTAATTCAGTGTCCCCTCTTTTTACTGTAACATTGTATATAGTACATATATTTTCTAAATCAGATATAAGTTTACAGTTTGTACGGAACCAACAGATCTGGCACAGTAACTGCACTAAAATATTGTATGGGAAAATGTGTGGCAAACCTTTTGGTGACTAACAAATATAGTGCATGTGCAGTCAATCTGCAACGCTAGGTTATATTATACAACTACCACTGAAGCAATGAGACATTTCCTGTTGTCTTGAAATGGTTCGATATTCAATGTAAATGTTTCAAAGAAATGGGTGTCACAGTGTTTTGCTGCCTCCCAGCACTGGTGCCCTGGGTTCAATTCCAAACCTGGAATTGCTATCTGTGTGGAGTTTGCATGTTCTCCCTGAGCTCACACGGGTTTCCTCTGGGTGCTCCGTGCAAAGACATACAGAATGGGTAAGTTAATTGGCTTCTGAGAAAATCGGGCCTGGTGTGAGCGTGTCTGTGTGTGCCCTGCAATGCACTGGTGTCCTGTCAAGGGTGTAACCAGTCTTGCCTGTTGCTTGCTGGATCAGGCTTTTGCTCCCCGTGCCCCTGAATGGGATGAAGTGGTGAGAAAATGTATGGATGTTACAAAAAAATATTTGCTTATATTTAGTACAGTATATAGTCAGGTAATTTGTAATGAAATTGGATCAAATTAAAAATGATTTCCCTGTGTAATACCATCGTACAGATACTGTATATGTATATACTGTAATATGTGAGTTAACACAAATACACAGATCTGACCAAATTTAAGTTTGTTTTTTGATGTTTTGAATCTTGACAGGAAAAAACCTCTTACTTTTCTTCACTTCCTGTGCATTCTTTCATTTCTGTGACTTCCGTAAATAAACAATAATAATTCCACTACCTAAAGCTGGTATATAAGCCTGGAGCCCAGAATTTTAAACCTGCACAGGAAGCTGGCACTTTACTGTGGACAGGACATGAGTCCATTGCTGGACACACAAAAACACAAAATTTAGAAATACAGTATGAATTAACATACTGTAGCATATATTTTGGAAGTGGGTGGAAAACATGGGGAGATCGTGTAAACTTTACATCGAAGACAAACTAGGACCCAAGATCTGAGAGAAAGCAGCAGTCATGGCTAATAGAAAGGACATTATTGGAATTTGTAGCTATTTTTGCACATATGCAAGGAAAAGAGAAATGCCATAATCTCCCACTGGTTGTAGGTTTTGTAAGCAGTTTGGATTTTCTCTGAAAAATAGGACACGGAACACTGCACTACAGTTATTTTTTTGTTTTTGAGTGATCAGATATTAAGAGCAAAGCTTCCACTGAATTTGATTTATTCTTTGGGCTTTTAAGTTTACAATCCAGCATAACATTTAAAAAGTTTAAGAACTGAAAGAAAACTTCCATTTCCCACCAGAAAGATGTAAAAATAATTACAGGAACAAACTCAAAATTGGTCATTTCAGCCGCAAAGAAAAAATGTCTGCGCGTCATTTCAAACTTGTATGGAGAAGAAGTAGGTAGTAGATGCTGAAAGTGGAAACAGTTTGAAAGGAAATGTTGCCCTTTTAGTCCCGTAAAGGCACTTAAAAAAATTATGAAAAATACATATACATATACATATAATTTCTGAGACTACATTGGAAAGATTCATGCTACTCTATATCATGATACGTTATTGGATAATTCACAAAATTTCAGTTTTCATCATAAACTTCCACATCAAATTCCATTATGTGTAGCAGATAATTGTTAAAGATATTTATGCATTTTGTAAGAACATAAAAAAGTTTAAATTGAAAGAAGGGGATTTGAAGCATCTTGCTTGTTAGAGGTCACCTGTTTAATAATCTGATGATGCAGAGTGGGTAGTTTGTTCCCCCCCGAGACCATCTCATTGTGTAAAAAAATACCTCCTAATTGTTCTTCTGTCACTGTGCAACAAAAGTGAATTGTCACTAATTTAGCTATTGCTTCCTTTATTATTAGGAAGCTTTCGATGGCAAACCCTGTGGTGGTTTTGCTGGTTTACACATTACTTACCCATGTTTTCTCAAGCTAAGGGTGCACACACAAAGGTTGGAGAGAGAGGCAGGGTAAGGATACTGGGTTAAGATAAATACCTTCCTGCAGGTATAGAGGAAAGGCAGCACTTTATTTTGTTTTGATTTGCAAGTTGTTTTAGCAGGTTTATGAGTGAATAAACTATTTTCAGGCTGACTTCCTTCTATAGAGCCCCAAGAACAAAAAGGACCTGAGCCTTTAGTAGACCTCTTATATGCCTGTGGAGATGGCAATGGAAATTTACCAATGCAAATAGAGGAGGGGGGTGAAGTGACACATAATATTTGTATAGTTATGCATTATTTGAAATATGTTGGTTTTGCACTGTGTTGTCGGTCTATTATTAAGCATTTAAAATGATAGATTGTTAATGTATGTTTGACTGTTTTATGATTCATGTTATTCCATTGATAATGGTATTGCCCGAAGGCATATAAAAGGATGCTGGGAAATGTTTAGTTGGTCAGTAATAGTCATTTAAATAGGAGAGCTTTAGGAATATTGAGCGAACTGAGGTGTACAGCTAATGATTGCTAATGTTTTATTTGCTCTTACTGTTCCCTGTCTGCAAATGATATTTTTGTTGTGTTTTGGTTTTTGTTAATTGTGGTTGTTATGGTCCCAGCTGGGACACACAATTGCAAATAGATTGGCAAAGCCATTTTCTAACCTACAGTAACTGTTGACTTGCCAGTGTGAGACCCTTTCACTAACACTTTGATCAACATGTGTTGTGGCCAACACTGCCCACACAGGATTGTGTTGTGTGACATTTGATGGCAGGGTGGGTTTCAAACACTTTGTCAATACTTCTCAGTATTTTGTAGTTATTATGCTGTCTAATTCGTGCAACACTGAAGATATTTGTATCTTTGAATTGTATGCATGTGATATATAGGAGCAGTAAAATCAGAACTGCTTCTCTTTGCTCTTTCTTGAATTCTCTTCAGGACATTTTAGCAATATGGTTTCTAGACTGTTCTATATGCCTGGTATTAAGCTGCTGAAACAATTAAACTGCTGCTGCTTTCACAGAGAGTATTGCCCCTACTGTGCTTAAAATGCAGTATAATTCAAGGTGTAATTATTATAGGTAGCATTATTATTTACATGCAGAATATCCTGGATTACAATGACGTTATCCCCTTTCCATTGGTGTAAACTTTCTCTTTCAGAGAGCCAGACCCTGTTATCACAGCAATCAAAAATGGATCAGCGGACACACTGAAATCAATGATAAAATCTGGAAAAAACCTGGCTGGACCCAATAAGGATGGCTGGATGCCACTGCATGATGCAGCATTCTATGGCCAGTTGGAATGCATAAAAGTTTTGCTGAAAGGTTGGTTAAAAAGCTGGGTGAGGGTTTAAACCTAGGGAGATCTGGGGACCTGAGACAGGGAATCCTCACTAGAGTTCCACGCCAGCTCACTGAGCTGTTCCATTCAAAACCAGATGCGGGTGGGACATTGGTAAACTGTGATATTATACCATTTACTACAGAATATTGAGAAATGAAATGCATACTCTTACATAACATTTACACAATACATTTTGTGAGTTTTGTGAAAGCATTCAAGACCAGACCTTTTTTAAATAAAATGTAAATAAAAGCAAACGAATAACCTCCAACTAATTTTCTAAAAAACCACCCTGCAATACGTTTCATTTCCACTCATCACAATTGTGTTTTGTTTGTTGTGGCTTTGTACTTTTACACATTGCTTCCTTTATAGAATGGTGAGCAAATAGCACTTAGAGCAAAATGCTATGAAAATAATTCTCTACTTTAGGGTCTATTTCAGTCTGTGTGGGTTTGCAGACTTTGTGCAACAGTGAGTTATGAACCAGATTAATAACATGTTGAACGTTATGTATGAGATTACAAAGTTATCAAACAGTATTTGCTTTTCTAATAGGTCATTTTCTTATGTAATATAATGTCAATCTATGATTTAATTCTGAATTATTTACTCCCAATGTTATGGCCTACCACTATAAATAAGTTGTGCGGAAATGTATCGGGACCCTCATGAGGAAAAGAAGGCTGAGCATACTGTAGATGGATGTAGTTTGAAAGATTTTTTTTTTACATCTGGTAATTAAAATTGTGGTACTCAGTTTTTAACTGGTTTACAACCCAGTACATTGAAGCCAAAATATATTCATAAGGTATGAGAGCAAAAGCAAAATAAATTAAGGAGTAAATGTTAGAAAAGGCCCAGTGTAAGTTTAAAATAGTAACAATCTGCCAAAGTTGCTGCTGGTAACTTGGTGTGTTAACTCTGGCAGACCATACAGTTAACAGAAAATAGCTGAATCTCAAAAAGTCTACCTAATGTAAAGGATATACATTTAAACCCTTCAGAAAATTAATAAGCCAGAAAAGGGTTATGTTTATTGTAGATGTTTTGTTTTCTATTTCATCACTTGCAAAAATATTTTTGACTTAGAGATGTTATAATTAGAAACGTGTTACAGTAGGATTCTGACAAAAAAAAGCTCTCAAGGAGTGGATTAAGTGGCTCACATGGTGGATTTAAGTGCTGTAACCCACATGTAAATGTGTGTCCGTCCTCCATTAGATCACAAACAACCATACACATAGACCACAGCAATGTTACTTCATAACATAACTGTGAAGTGGTCACCAAATGTGCTGTGCTGTTCAACTGTGGTTGATGTTGATCTATCACAAGACATTGGCACTACAGTGGGCCAATGCATGATGCTAATCCCAGACTGAGGCTTCCTATGTGAGAATGAGCCTTATCGATTATATTGACATTGGTGTTGCTTTAGCAATAGGTGAGGCATACAGCATGTGCTCTGGCATCAGCAGATGCGACAAATTAAAAAAAAAATAAAAGTAAAAAACTGAGCAGTAGATGTTTAGTACATTTAGTTCTTTGGTTGCTTGGAGCAAATTAAACCAATGATCTCATCAATTTTTTTTCATTTCTTGAAAGAAGTCAGGGGGAAGTCAGCATCTTTGGGTAGCTTGTTCCAGACTAGAGTGAGCACTAGCAATTTCTACAGACAGATCACAACCTCCAATATTATCATTAGGAAATAGGTGCATCATTAAAGGTTAAGGTACAGAATGTTTATTTTACTGAAGTGCTGTTTGTAAATAGGAAATATCCATTCCTTGCTTGACAAATTAATTACTTATGTTAAAGTGTTTTAATAAAGAAATGCAAATGAATAGATTGCAGTATAACAAATATTATTTTTGTCAAACCTTGTCCATTTTTTTGTAAAGCTGTATTTTATAACACACCTACTGTACAGTAGGTTAAACACCAAGCTCTTGATTTAATCAAACTGGCACCATTCAACCTTATTGAATGTCTAGGATGTGCTTAGGAGTCTCCTTTAAACAGACACAAGGAACACAAGTATGGGTGGTGCACATGTTTGAATTCTTAAAAAATTAGGCTGAGATGTTTTTAAACTGGCTTGCTTAATGTAGGGATTTGAGCGAGCTTGGATGACCCAGCATACAGTTTATTATATCATATTTTGAGAGCCTAATATGATGCTGTTCCCCCTTTTGAAAATGCTCCACAGCTTATCCAGGCATAATTGACCAGCGCACACTGGCAGAACAGACGGCCCTCTTACTGGCAGCATCAAGGGAACATTTGGAGTCTGTCCAGTTCCTGCTTGAAAATGGAGCAGAGACGGACATTGCCAACAAGTCTAGAGATACTCCTCTTTACAAAGGTAATGCAACTAGCAATACCTTTGGCTCCAGGAAAGAGTGATGTGCCCTTCTGGATATATTCAAGAACCCCAAAATCTTTGCGGAGCAGGTTTTGCTTTTCTAAATACTATTTTAATCGTTGAAAACTAAAATCTACAGTACAAGCAGTGTACAGAAATTGTGAAATGCAACTATTCAATTTAGTTCACTTTACAATTTGTAATCTAAATTGCTTGTTCGCCCTTGATTTTTGTGCACCAGGTCCATGATGCACATTTTGTGTAAATCTCTTTTCTAATGATTAATTTAATGATTAATCCCTTCCTCAACAATTTAGGTCTTTAAATTCTTGGTGAATATCCTCAGCTTTGTTGCTTTGTGGTGGGTAAAGCAGGAATCCTAGGCACTGACAGTTTTGACTGTTTAGATAACAGAAGAGTATAAACACAAACATTATTTTAAAATAAATTAGTGTTAACCTGTAATCAGATATTATAATCATAATAATAATAATAATAATAATAATAATAATTGCTTACACTTATATAGTGCTTTTCTGGACACTCCACTCAAAGCGCTTTACAGGTAATGGGAACTCCCCTCCACCACCACCAATGTGCAGCATCCACCTGGATGATGCGACGGCAGCCATAGTGCGCCAGAACGCTCACCACACATCAGATATCGGTGGGGAGGAGAGCAGAGTAATGAAGCCAATTCATAGATGGGGATTATTAGGAGGCCATGATTGGTAAGGGCCATTGGGAAATGTGGCCAGGACACCGGGGTTACACCCCTACTCTTTTCGAGAAACACCCTGGGATTTTTAATGACCACAGAGAGTCAGGACCTCGGTTTTACATCTCATCCGAAGGACGGCGCCTGTTTACAGTATAGTGTCCCCGTCACTATACTGGGGCATTAGGACCCACATGGACCGCAGGGTGAGCGCCCCCTGCAGGCATTTAAAGTTATGCTCAAATGGTATACTCAAACAACCTGAATGTACGTTTAAATTCCAAAATTTCTGTTGTAATAATTTCCCACAATCTCTATAATCTGGAGATCCTAATATTTAGGATACATTCCCAGTAAAAAAAATAAAAATAAAACATTCTTAAAGTATGTGCAAGAAATGAAATTACATTACATTAAAAAAACATGGATAGAATCAGAAAATACTGAGAGACATTAAAAATGGAATAAATGAGAATTGCATTGGTTATCAGTAGTTGTCCTTGTAGCTCTCTCTACTCTTTTCTCCAGCCAAGTTCTTGGACATAATTCATTTCAGTTTTGTTTTTAAGACCTTTTCTTAATTTGAATGGAAACTGAAAAGTTAGGAACGTGTTGTTTAAAAAACTTTAAATGTACTTATATGTCGAAGGTTTGTGTAGCTGAAATATATAAATGAATATAGTTTTAAGATTATTTTATTATATGAACATTTAAAAATGCATTTATAGATTGTTAAAATTGCAGAAGACACCTCACAACATACTTTCATTATGTCTGCATGGACATTCATTCTGAATGCTACCGTTTATAATCCAGGAGATAAAACTTCACATTTTACAAGTATATTATTTTTTAAACTAAAAAATATATATTTGACAAATCAGAATGTGCATAGCACCTCAATAAGATGTAGTAATTTAAAGCTGATGATTGAATATTACATCATGATTAAACCTTAGCCTGCAAATCTTCAACAGCTAGCTCTTAAGGTGACTGGGATCAGTTACCAAGTGGCCTGTGTCTGTAGTGTCTTAACAGTGATACACCTGTCTCTCCTCAGCTTGTGAGCGGCAGAACGTGGATATCGTAAATCTGTTGCTCAAGTTTGGTGCCAGTGTTAACCACCGGTGTAACCAGGGCTGGACTGTCCTGCATGAGGCTGTGTGCAGAAACAACCTGGCCATCATTGACCTCCTGGTACAGGCCGGCGCCAACATCGAGTCCACCAACATATACGGCATCACCCCGCTCTTCGTGGCAGCACAAAGTGGGCAGGTGGCAGCGGTGCGCTACCTGATCAATATTGGTGGGTGAACGCAGAAACATTACCTTTCTTAGCTGTACTTGTGCTGTGTTGCATGTTGTTATATTTATACTGTGAGCAATCTGTCTAGGCCAAACTGCTAACCCACACTAAGAAAGGACATTACTTTAAGGGATCACATTACAGGGATCAGTGCAGTGTAGTTTATGCTATTTATTGCATTATTTAGAAACGGTTTTGGGTAGGGTGCCCAGGTGGGTCAAAACTGTGAAGGTACTATGTCTGAGTACATGGTTGAGCTCTACAATCCAGCTACACTGCCCTTTTAAACCTAGGTTATCTCACTAGCCAACATACAGTATGAATTCTTCATGCTTAATGCTGCTGAAGGAAGGGAAGGCATTAATCAGCCACAGTGCTCTCAGTTCGCAGAGAAACATTCACTTCCTGGCGCTGGCGGGATTGCAGTGACAGCAGAGACTGACTCTCCTGTCAGGCACTGTCACAGTGGCAGCTTGTTACAGTATGAATGACTTTAGGTCTGCTGGGGTTGAAGGAGCTTTTCTGCCTTTCCTTATTCTCCCATAGGAGCCATTGACATGAGACAAAAACAAAATGATAAGGTTGGCTATTCCAATTTGAGTGCATTTGCAGTATACTGTAAAGGAAAATAAAATGAAAAACATAAGTGTTATACAATGGGGTTCATTTAATTGTATTACATTGTGAATATTGCTGAGTTTCTAATGTTTTGCTTTAACTTTGTGTTTGTGAAAAGAACCTTGAGATGCTCTCTGATAAAATCTTGGTTCTATAAATTCTTATTCTTATTATAAAAACTACAAAAAGCTTCCAACCTCCAAAGAGTGCAGTGGGGCACCCCTGGCATTACTTTCACATTTCATGTCACTTTTACAAATGATTTTAGTTGATTTAGATTCAAGAGGTGACTTGTTAAGATCAGAGAGGCAGTGACCTTCTGTATTCAATAGCTGTGTGCGTTGTTTTAGGTGCTGATGTCAACACGCAGGCCAGTGACAAGGCCACAGCTTTGTATGAGGCAAGTAAGAATGGACACACGGAAGTGGTGGAGCTTCTGCTCTCTTACAATGCGGACGCTAACAAGCCTTCGAAGGATGGTTTGCTCCCTCTTCACATTGCTTCTCAGCGTGGACATGATGGGTAAGGATGTCAAATGAGATGCTGCATAATTTTCTGATAACCTCCCTGCTGTTTAAATTAACAGCCAACACATAATTGCCAGGATAGAAACTGTGAGACTATTTCAAATGATAATGGTTCAATATTTTTTACTTCAGTTTTTTTTTACAGCGCTTAAACATTTTTTACACTATTTTTTGTCTGTAATATATATGTGATAGAAATTCATGTAGATGCTTTTTAAAGGAAATGGCAATGTGTCAGAGTAATTGTAAGAAGCATTATTTTTCAGCTGAGCATTTAAAACTGAGCACTGGACATATTCCTTGAGACAAAATGTAAAAGGTAGTCTAGAAATGAGATTCTCAGCTGTGTTGTTGAAGCTGAAACCATTGCTTCTTTCAAAGAAATGGCTGGAAGAGACTCTCAGATCATTTAGCTTAACAAGGAAGGTGGCTGTGTGACCTTGTTATGTTTGAAAACGTTCTCATGTTCCTGAGTTCCTGCAAAATAAACTCCATTATCATCTTATCCAATATTACTATAGAAACCACTTGGTTTCTTTCAAAAAACATCTGGATGTGATCCTTTGATCAATTAAAGACTAACTATCAAACAGGCTATATTGGACAAATAGGCTCTCATTTGTAACCTTTTTTATGTAGGGATGAAAATAAATTATAGAGCAATTCTGTTTTGATTTGGTATTTCAAAAAGCAGAACATAAGTTAAAATAAATGTTTATTGTTTTGTTTTTCATTTTGCTTCATATTATGTATAGTAATGTAAAAGTAATAGTAACACTATCATTTTTATTTTTTAGTCTCTTATTTTCATTTTTTTTGTTTAAAAGATTGTGTCATTAGGCTACCTAAAGATGATTTCTTCCATGATTAAACATTTATAAACATTTCTAAATTAAGAGCAGCTGAGCCTAGACTAATTGCATTCTTGTCATTTACATAGTCCCAAAATCAATACTTAACGGTGCACCATCTAACCAATTGAAAGGCGGCTACCAAGTATTGGATTCAGAATTTGCAGTTGGCAGATGGGCCTAAGATGAGTTTAGTTTAGATCAGATTGGTTCCTGTCCTTAGTGTGCATCATCTTAAATCTTGAGCTGTTCACTTTTCTTCTATAACTCGTTTAAGAACTGAATTACCTTTTGTACAACCTTGGTTTCAACCTTAACAGTCCTGTGGGTTCAGTGTTAACCTTTTTATTGTAGAAATGTGCTCTTTTCATCACCAGAGTCCAGAGTTTATGCTGAGTCAACCCAAGTCTCACTTTATGTTCCATTCACAGTCCAAATCCCCTTTATTCTATAACACCCATGAAAAAAGAATCATGTAAGAATACAGTATATGTTGTAATAATCAGCTAATGTAAGTACATTGAAATAGATTAAAATGATGTTGTGTCTAAATACATACAGAGATGCTTTTCTGTTAGTATTTTAATATATTCTATCATGTTCCATCAAGACAAGAAAGTGAACTTTTGAGATTTCAAGTTTTAAAAGGTGGTGAGTTTGTCGTTGTCTTGCATTGTTTGCAGAAAAAAGCTGATTGCCTTTGAACCCTTCCCCTACAATAATGAACAAGCAGTTAAGTAAGTTACTGTGGTCAATGCTGAAGGTGGTCACAGAAGAATCACATGGAAATGCTTATTTAACCATCTTTGTTTTGCTTGGGAACCAGATGTTAACATTACAGAAGCTATGCCTGCTTTTTTTATATGACAATTTTGGACGTTTGTGTCTGTAACTAGAATCTAGTGTTAAGATCAGTTGAAAGACCTCAGTACTAATCAGAACTAATACAGGTCCTGCTGGGTGCCATGTACAGTACCCATTGAAACAGAAGCAAATTAAATTAAAATGACACATTTTATTGTTTTCAATTGAAACCCACAAAGGGATTTTGTTGCACTTGAAAGTATTGGTTTGTTTGAGAGGCAGTGGTTTCAAAAATAGTTTAACCAAAATTGCCGTATCGTTGCAATTTTCCTATTTGTAAATGGCAAACACAATGGATTATTCATTAAGTCTTACTATATTCTGGAGGCTGTTAATATGTTAACGGTAAGTTCCATTTTATGGACTGCTTCATTTGCAACTTGTTTTCCCGGGTTCTCTAGCCTCATCTCATCCATCATTTACTGTCAGATGCCTGATCATATTATATTGCTCATGGTGGCTAAGGAAGTAAGATACCAATTAAGGAGATGTTCTTTAGTCTCAACTTATTTTTTATTGAGAGTGAATAACAGAATTTTCATTAAATATTTGCTAGCTGACGTCATTAAATCACAAAGTGGTGTAAAGCATGATATTTCTGACTTGCCCCTCTGGTGTGTAACCTCCCTCATAAATAGCATGAATTTAAAATCAAGGTCTTCACATTCACATCCTTTTCTGTAAATCACTGTTCTAAACATTCCCCCTTTTTTAAATGTTTTTCATTTCATTAAAATGTATGTTAATAGTTTGATTTACTCCCCCTGCTGACAATTATATAGTCTTAAACAGCTTAGAAATGCAACGATGATGATTGGACTAGTTAACCTGAAGGTTGCAATTAAAAATAATTTCTGTCATGTGGGAAGGGCTCTGGGCCTGTCAATTCATATCCTGGGTAATACAGTGCGGTCATACCCATGGGCAGCGCACTTTACTCAAATTGCACTAGTAAATGTTCTGCCGTTTAATGGTTCTCTAGATTGTCATTGAGAATGGGAATTTGTCTTACCTGATGGAGTAAAACCACGTTGTAGTTGCCTCATCCTAATGTTTTCTGATTTGTGCTCCAACTGATCTCTTAGTGGCTTTGGCTAAATGCAGTTTATTGTTTCAGCTGTATGGCTAATGTGGCACTGTTAAGCTGTTTTGGCTCTTAGCACAATAAATGGTGACAAAAATTAGTATTGATCCTGCAAGGGCCAGGTTTGTGAACCCTCTGTGTTGGTAAATTTTTCAGTGATTGTGTTTGGACTTTAAGCAAATTAGCCCAGTTAGAACTGTGAATATTTGTTAGTATACTGTATGATGAGGTCAGGAAGGTTCTGTACTGTATATAGTAAAGGTGATGTTATATTGCTGGGAGATATTGGGATATTGTGTAACTCAGAAGCTGAAATTAAGATGGTTGAAATAGTTAATAATTACTTCTTAAGACACTCTGTAAAATATCCATCTAGACAACTGCTCTTATTGACTTACAGTATATGATAGTTCTATAGGGTTGGCAGATTATTACACAAGATGAAAACAACCTTAAATGCTTCTTCTGCCAAGGTACTTAGCAAATACGTACCTTAAGCAGGGTGTTTTTTAATACAAAGCACTATGCGATAAACAGTTTAGAACAGTTTTCAATTAACTGAAGGAAGTGCTCAGCTAAAACAAAAAAAGAAGACAAAGATTTCCTGGAACAGGTGTTGCAAAATGCTTAACTGCAAACATCTATCCTCTTAATTGTAGAAATGAATAACCATTACTTATGGGTATCCTTTTGGATTGATAATTATTGAAGTTGATCTGAATGTTTGCTGTAAAACATGGCAGTATATACAGTAGATCTCTTCATGTTTGATATTACTATACATACAATTAATATGTAAGGCTGTAAATGGTTTATAAGAGGAATTAAAAACTAAATCCAACTCCAGTGCGGTATGTCAAGAGATTAAATGAAGCAATGTGATTCAGAAGCTACTTGTATCGGGTAAGAATAGAAAGAAGAGGAATGGACTGTTGGTTTCTAGATTGGTTGTACTGTAAATATGAAAAAAAAACATTATTGTTATTTGTGAAATAGCCTACATATTTCATATTTGAAATAGCCCATATTTGAAATATATTTTGCTTTGCAGCTTCTAGCTACAGCAAAGGATGTTCATGCTCCTAGTCTAGGAATGCTGTAGTTTGTCGTTGACATGGACCATAGTTGAATGCATCACTAGTATTCGGTAACTTCAGTCCTGTGTCCATCTAGGATCATCTCCCTGCTAATTCCCGTCACCAGCAAGTGCCGGATCAAACGCAGTGGCATCAGCCCTCTCCACTTGGCCGCAGAGCGAAACCACGATGAGGTCCTGGAGTTACTAATAGAGTCTGGATTTGATGTCAACACTACCCTGTCCAACGACCGCTCTCGGCTGTATGAAGACCGCCGCAGTACTCCCCTCTATTTTGCAGTCAGCAACAACAACATCAATGCTACCCAGATGCTGTTGGAAGCTGGTGCCAACCCCAACATTGACATCCTCAATCCCCTGCTGGTGGCCATCCGTCAGGGCTGCATCACGACCATTAAGCTCCTTCTGCAACATGGAGCCAACATTGACGCCTATATCCCCACCCACCCAACTAGCTTTCCAGCTACCATAATGTTCTGCATGAAGTACCTCACGCTACTCAAATTCCTGCTGGACCGTGGCTGTGATGCAGAGGCGTGCTTCAAATGTGAGTTTGGAAGTGACCCTCATCCAGATCTCCCAACAACCCCTCGAGATGACTTTCGACTCCCTCATGTGCCTCCAAGGATGGTGCAGGTAAAATGTGTGCTCTTGTTTGTGATACTATATATCATGGATAGGCAGCTTGGTTTTTCATGAAAAACTATATTACGGGAACCGTGATTCAGCCATTGATTGAACTACTTCATTGATCCTTAATTAATTGATTGCCCCTGCAGCTGAAGGTCACTCAAATACAGATCCTTGCTTTTTTCAAATGAGCAGTCCTGACCGAGATAATGATAAGAATGTGAAAACAGACAAGGTGTAAAGTAATTTTGTAGGACACAGTATGTGCTTTCAGTGTCAGGATGAAGACTGGATAATTGTTTCTTGATTTAATTGTAGAACATTTTGTTCTTCTTGTTCTACTTTTCCTTTTCTTTATTATGATTTTACTTATGGATTCATTTTTCTGAACCGTCTCTCTTCCAGTTCTGTGAGATGATCTCTATACCATCAATATGCCGTTGGGCAGGACCCATCATTGATGTCCTTCTCGATTACGTGGGCCATGTGAAACTGTGCTCCAAGCTTCTTGAGCATCTGGACAGCTATGAAGACTGGGCAGTCATCAAAGAGAAGTCCAGTAAGTACTGTACTGCATGATGCCCATGAATCAGATGGGTTTTTGAGGGCATACAGAAGTCAGTATAGCTAGATCAGTAGCTGCCTGGCCTTGTCTTGTTTTTGCTTTCAATCCTAAGATTAAAAATATCCTACTTGGAACTCATTGTTTCCAACAATTTTAATTTACAGAAATTATCAGGAATGTACAGTAGTTCAGGAATGACAGTAGTTCAGCAGCAAGAGACATTAAGGGTATATGGTCAGAGGTATGATGCTGTACAGAAATGAATCAGGGGGACTACCCTTGCTGTTCCAAACTCCAGATGGCTTTAATTAAAATAATGGTTGAGATTGTACAAAGGAAGTAAGAAAGAACTGCAGTACCAGATTTTATTATTTAATTCTCTATCAATTTTATGATATTTGCAGCTAATGTAAAATGGCCCTGTGCAAAGAATGCAATGTCAGAAATTCACTTGTCTGTTGTCAGGACGCAGTTTGTAACTTTTGGCTGGGTGTTGTTTTCAGAGCCTCCTCGGCCCCTTATGCATCTCTGTAGACTCAAGATCCGTGAACTAATAGGAAAAGAGCGTTTGAAATACCTGAACACCCTGCAAGCTCCTGCCAGAATCATCCGATACCTGGATCATGACTACTCCACATCAGAATAGTGATTCCATTATTTGTTTGCCAAAAGAAATTGAATTAGGAAAGAATATACAGCTTTTTTTCCTAGAACAGTGAACATGTACAGTAGTATGTTTTTTTTTTTACTTTTGTGTTTTGTATTAAAATTTGTAATATAGTTTTATAGAGCAAAAAGTTCAAATTGCTGTGTTTTTACTATTATGTTTTGTCTTAGAAATGTCTCAGTTCCAATACAAATTCATAAATGGGTATGTCTAAATAAACTAAATAGTCAGTTCTTAAATCATTTGATTAAGCTGTTTAAAAAAACATTCAGTTTTTTTTTACTTTTTAACCTAAAATGTGAAAAATGCTGAAGGGCAAAAATGCAATACTTTTTATTATAAATGTAGTACTAATTATTTCTAGAGGTTTTGGTAGACCGTCAACCAGTTTTGTGTCAAGCAATAACTGCAGCAAAAAAGTATTTGCTTTTCACAAAGTGGAAATTTATTAAACAGCAAAACGATACATTTAAAGATGCCAGAATTTGTATTTGTTTTTGTCAAATTAACTTTTCTCTCTATTTTTCTTCAGAATATTTTGTTTGTGTACTGAAAACAGGAAGTGATAATATTCTGTGTAGAACTGGTTGAGAGTTATCTGTAAAAATTTCCCCAGCATACATACATAATTTTGCTTTATTTTGATTTTTCTTTTATTGTCTTTTGCTTTATTTTTTTTAACGTGAACTTTAAGTATTCACAGTTGAGGTTTAATTGACAGTAGACTTAAGAAACGATTTTAAAATAACTCACTTTATATACTTTTCTCAACATTTTGACGACTTTTGTGAGATTTGTACTCTGCTGTGTGACTTTTGTAGAGTTATTCATTTGCCTTTGTACCAAAGATTTATTTAAAGCCTTAAAGAAAAAAAACCTTATATTGCATGCGCTACAAATTCAGGTTGCATATACAGTATATGGGGCAAATTTATGGAGCCTGAAATGCATATTTCCTTTAAAAAACAAATGGTGATTCAACCTACAGTATCAGTGGGAAATAGTTGCTATATCTATGTATTTAATTAAGCCTTTTACTACTATAGCAGATTGGTTGCACCAAGAATTACTGGTTACAAGGTTTTATGTGTCAGCCATTTTGTATGCTTCAAATATTTACAAAAATTGATTATGAATAATGTAGTAGTATAAGGCAAATGGAAAGAGAAAGTTATGACTATGTACTTTGATGAGAAGATGTGGTTTTACTGAATATTACTGAATATCAGTTGAAGTATTGCTTAGGAAGTGGTAGAATGTTAGAGTAATTGTGGTTGGACTGGAGGGACAAAACGGCAAAGAGGAAATTGCCCTGTACATACTGTATTTAGACAAAAGGCTATCTACAATCTTATGAAAGCATCATTTAGACTTGTTTAAGGATATTAATTAAATGCTTAAAATAGTGTCTTGTGGGTTTTGAAATTGGGAGGGTTTGAAAACTTAAAAATCTAAATGCAATTTGGTGAGCTTATGAAATAACATATGACCTTTAGCATGAAACATTCTTTGATTTGGAAAATTCTTGTTGTGATATTGAATTAATATATTATTGTAATATAGACAGAAAGAAGGCAACACAGGGTCAAGATATGTTCCATCTGCAAGGCAATTTTAAGGTTTACATTACATTCAGTACTTAGGTACACCTTTAACTTGGCAATTCATGCTGTTTGTTAATGTACAGTATACTTAAAGAAAAGCAGATGATAAAACTCTTATTAATAGCTTTATTAACAATATTTACTTGAAGTCAAGTAAAATACTTAGGGGTGGAATTGCTGTACTACCCATGCAATTTTGCTCTGACTTAACAGATTTTAATGGAACTTTTTCAAGTGTTGTGATCATTAATTAGAGGTAACCTTTTTTTAAGTTAAAGATGTCAGTTTGGTATTCCCAGTTAAGAAATTGCAGAAAAAATTGAAATGCACTGAGTCAGACTTGAAAATTGTTTTTGTCAATGGTTCTAGGTACTGTGCAAATAGAAATGGTTAAATGAGATTCTGCCTCTTCATAGTTAGATGGTGAAGGTCTATTAAAAATAAACATTATAGGTGTTTCGGTCAGAAGCAGGTGATAGGCAAATTGTGGATTCATAAGGTAAGAAACAACATTTTTTGTTTACTTAATATATGCCTTAAGATACTGTAGATGTGTATTTTTAGTACATACTGTATAATACTTTGATAGTCTGTAATTTAAGGTTTTTTTACTTTGTAGTTCCACAATATTTTTGTCTTTATTTTTTTGCTCTTTTCAAAAGTACAAATTTGTCAGATTACAGTATCTATACAGTATATATATATATTGGAGGAACTATGGGATATTTTCAATATTTTATGTTGTTCTTAAATTTACCAGGCAATTTTAAGAGATTGTAGTTTTTGATTTTTATAAGCTTTTGGGTGCAAATGTATTGTAAAAAATGCTTAAAGTTGCACCTCGAGCAAAATGTAATATTGTTGCTGTTTCTTAAAGAACGAATTCAATCTCTGTCTTCACTGTGTTGTTTATCTCTAATCCCTGATAGTAGTGATGAATTCTTTTTTAAGTAGCTGTGTGTTGAGGATTAGTATCTAGTTAAGGCTGACCTTACTATTGCAATTTTGCTGTTTGTTTCTTTCTAAGAAAAATAAATCTAATTACCATCAGACTCCAGCATGGAAAGGCTTTATATGTGTCATACATTATCACTGTAGGAGATTGATGTCAGCAATTACATACAAATTACCCGTGAAATTCCTAAATTTGGAAAGTAGGCATAGCAAAAACCACATACAGTATCAATTCATTATCTCGTGTATATTGAAAAATAGGAAAAAGGGCACTGAATAGTAAATTCCATTCAGGTGGAATTGAAATAGGGAGGAACATTTTGTTTACTTTGTGATATGATTTAACACATTTGGACCTCATTAGGACACTGAAATGAAATCTCTGAACAATAGCAGGTATCATATAGAAGTAAGACATACACTAGGAGAGCACACTTTCCCTGTCTTTTTTAACAGATGTCACTATGAAAATGAGATTCCTGTGCAGGGGGAAAGAGATTGTCATAGATTCACAGACATTATAAAATGTTTACTTAGATTATATTAGATTACTTTAACTGACACAAAGGTATAGTGACTTTCAAATAAAATATAAACCCCTCAATTCTTACATACCTGTAAATGAACAAGTGACAAAGGAATACAGAAGCTACAATGAACATGTGATAAAAAAGAAATGTGATGGTTTATTTATTCATATTACTGTGTAAAATACTTCTAAAAAATAGTTACAGGGTAGCCTGTAACTATTCATAGGGTCCATAGGAATGAACTTTTCAAGTGTTTATGTCAAACAATATATAAAATGTACAAGGGTTTACAGTAAGAAAGGTATACCTTTAACAGCAACATAAATATAAAACCTGTGTACATGTTACACTGAGAACGAGAGACCACAGATCTCGGTTGTTTTCAGAGTTGGAAATGTCAACCCCTTTGGCTTTGTTGGCAGAGTGAGTTACCGTATAGCCTACAGTTTGGGCCCACTTCAATTCCCAAAGACAGCAATTAGCAATCTTCTATCAGGAAAACGCGAGTGTCGAGACGCTAGGAAATATCTTCACAAAACAGTTCATTAATGTCACCAGATATTCGCCACATATTGGTGCTCAAAATGTATTTGTTTTGCAAATAATTCGTTAGTGTTAAAATATTATCGGCTTTAATACAATTTCACTAATCCTCTTGTTTATCAACCTATTTGTGAATTTGTATAGAAATAAAACCCAACGTATCGCAAAACTGACAGGAAACAGGCAAGGCGTATTGTATACCAGAGCAACGCATGTAACTTCATAAACCGAATATTTCGAAAAATGTTATTGATTTTATTTTCACACAAAGTCTGGACTGTTAAAATCTTAATTGTCTGTCTTGATTCTAATTATGCTCTTTTTCTCTCGGGACTTTCTTAAAATTTGAGTTACAATAGGTATTAGCGATATACTGTACAGCACTTAAGATTTCTGTTATTTCTAACGTGTAAACCGTGAATACAGGACATTCAGAAATTATCTCTAATGTTGAAATGACCTACTGTATGTAGCATGTGGAAACTTTAGTGCTCTTTTCTAGAGTATTATTCCTTGTTTCACCTATGATGATCAAACTTTAGCAATAGCGTTCACTCAGACACACAGCATGGTTATATTGTCAAAATGTAACATCAAATAGGTTTTATTCCGTTTGTATTTCAGAAGAAGTTTATTAAATGCAAGGTAACACCGATAGATTTACAGGTTCATAAGATTTTCACTAATCTACAAGTGTGGTCCAAGAGTTTGAGTTTTCTTTTCATTCGTTTCTGGTAAGTGCCTTTTAAACATTTAATCTTACGGGTTAATGTCAAACGTTTAATAACCTATCAGAACAAAAACAGCTACTTGTGCTTCTCAAATAAATAAGCTACTCTCAGAAAGGTCCCATTACAAAAATAATAAATCATTTCACTTGGATATTTATTTATACAATGTGCTTATCACGTTTTTAAAGTTTACTTTACACACGTACCGTTACCGTGTTTAGTGCTTAAATAAATCCAAACACACTGAAAATAGGCGACGGGACTGTCGGTTTAGTCGGGATGGGCTTCACTACAACGTGCGTGTGGCTCTTCTGTCCATTTATTGCAACATCCTTGCAGCTGTCAAGGCCCTCTGTTTGCGCAACAGAAGGTTTCCCCCACATACTCGAATCAGAAAACCCTGACTGCGGTAATACTACATGGCTTTGGTAGACGTGTTGTCCGTGGTACTGAAATGGACAGCAGCCGCAAAGACTCGCACTCCCAGTTAGGGATGTCATCTCCACCGTCAGAGGTTCCTTCTCTGCCACACTCTGTCGATTGATATGCACCGAAGTCGTCTTAGGTCCCTCGGAGCATTTCTTTCTTATTTGTTCCACTGAACCTGACAACCCACTACCTCCGACTGCTTGGTTCTTTCGCCAAACTGCTTGAAAAGTCTCATGCTTGCTTTTGGAAGACCTCGGTTCCTCCCAAAAAGAAGCAGGAAGCTGTCGTTTCCTCATTGGCACCTGGTCCTGCCTGCTGTAGTTTTTTTCGTGTGCAGAGTTCGGATTCGGCTTGACCGTGTCATCACATCTCAGATCAGACCCGATTTTTTCACTTAAATGTGCCAAACTGAGATTCCGATTCACCGTTTCCAGGGGGTAAGTGCCAGACTTATCCTCCAGAGCTTTTCCGATGCCCGATTCGCTTGTTCTGTAAGACTGGCATCTGGGGATCCTTGAATATTTCTGAGAAAAACGTTTGAGCTGTTTCTGCAGGTATTTCCTGTGGTCCACCGAGCGCCTGCATGGGGCCGATTTATCCAAAGCAGCCTTGATATCACTGGACGCCAAATTTACAAAATTCAGTAAAGTTTTAACCTCACTGTCGGTGCATGCCATTATTACATCCTGAGGTCTGAAACCTTAATTACTCCACAAGCATTTCGTGCTCCTTTTCTAGCATCATTACCTGTGAAAGACAAGGGGAAAGGACGTTTTCCTACATGTACTATAAAATTATCTATAAAAATCTTGCAAGACATTTCAAGTGTTATTTATATAAAGAGAGAATGCACAAGACCCATCAGAGTTATTTAAAAGTAATTGATGTCTTTACAGGTAGTCTCAATTTATATATACAGTATACAATATATAATCAATGTACTGCATTACATTCAAATATAGTTTGAGAGTGAGGCAGTCCACAGAATTTGCGGTAAAGATGTTGATTTTAAAAGGTTCATTTTTTTTAAAAATAAATAATGATACAGTATACAATAAAATACAAATCATGAAATAAAATCCAATTCAAAATTTGAATCAAAATTTAATCAAAATGCTGATATTGGATCCTTTTCTTGGCTTGGCAGTGATATTACTTACCAAGTGAGTCTACTGAAGTGATGGTATTCCAGCAGAACCTCTTCTCTAGAAAAGTTTTAGCACACGAGCAAGCTGAATGAATATAAACTGCGCGTAGTTATGGTGCTTTCTTCAGACCAATCAGCGACCTCCTTTCCCTACACAATACACCCCAATCAGGCACTGAGCTCCCCTGTATCACATTCTTTAACATCGCAAATTGTTGTCATAGAAACATCGCTAGAAAAGCAGCTAATAGATGCAATATTTCTTTGCAACTATTCCCTCTATTCTACCTTAGTCTCCCCACACCCCCCAGTCCACTGCCTTTTTTCCTGAGGAGTCTAAAACGTCTTAACGTCTTATACTGACGGTGCGCGAAGACTACTTAAATCTTTTATTCCTGGATATAACTTAAGTCTGTCTGGAGGCTGGCAGCAGGCATGCTTCAATGCCGCTAGACAATGCCAGTTTTTAGAGCTCAGGCTAGGCTACTCTTAACTGTTCTGATCTGGACCTCTTTTTTTTCCCCCAAGAGTGATGTCAGAAGAAGTAGGGATTGAAAAAAAACTCTAAAGAGATGTGCGGATATCCATGGAAAGGGGGCTTGAACGCTCAAGAATCTTGTCTTTATGTTTGCCCCCTCAATCGAGCCACACAAAGGCTGAATTACTCATTCAAACCTCGTGGGACAAAGGGAGAGGAGTTGGATAGCACTTTTGCATTTGTAGTCAAACAGTTAGAGACTTAAATCGAGTCGTCATGATGGAGAAAGAGAGTTGGACAAAGCCCATAGAATTGCCATCAGCAAACATTTTCCTGTGTCATATTAGTGGGGTCTCCATGGCTCCCTCTGGCCCGGGGACAATAGCACAAGTTTGCACACTCGACTACTGTCACCCTGCCAACGCCGACGAGGGCCAAAAACAGGACAATCCCTTGGAGAAAGCATGGGCTCTGCAGGGAAGGTAGCAATAGAAAAGGGGGAAAAGACTTGTGAAATGCTAATTGAGCTCCATCCCCTTATTGAGAAAAAAAGGTCCCAAACACCCCCTCCCCACACCTCTCAGGCTTGGCACGGCGAGGTGGCACTCAGATGCGTGAAAACCATTTTTCTAGGTAACCCTAGGCTCATGCCCGTGCACCTCAGGACCCCCGCCGTTCAAACTTCAAACTCAACCGCACTCACGTTCCCTTATTACTTCAAAAATGTAGTCAGTTTATTTTGTCGGTAAAAACAAATGTAGACAGAAATTAGTAAAACCTGCGTGTGCTACACGAGATCTGTAAAACCTTCTGTCTTTTCTGCTTCACTGGCTCAGCAACATCTCGGAAAACCGGGACTGAGATGGACAGGTTAACGAAGTAACCCCCAAAACAGAAGCGCCAACAGCGTCGTTAACACAAGTGGACGCGGTGTGCGATATAACAGGCTGCTGTTCGCGCGTCACTTCTGGGCTAAAAAGAACTGCAGACTGCAATGCGACTTCCACCTCCGACTACTCTCCGTCTGACAGAAAAAAACAGTTGTGCAGCCGTGTGCGTCTTTTACTACGAGACAAAACGTTCTTTTTTGTATTGCTTTGTTAATTATGTGCAGTTTTTTTCACATTGCCCACTTTTAACACATACTGTACAGTAAAATTTATTGAGCTATACATCTGAAGTTTAGGTCGAAAACTTTGAGTGGTTGGTGTTTATTACCGGTTTGGTAGCTACCTGAAATGTGTATTCACCTATTCCCTAAAAATGTAAGAATACATTTTTTTTTTTTTCAATTGTTAATTCTTTTGGAAAGGCGGATTGATTCGGAACTTGTTAAATTTTTGTTTTCCTTTAAATTGGTTGCGTTTAGTTGATTTTTTTCGGTTGTTTTTTTCTTTTTTGCAAAAAAAACACCAATAGATATGGTAAAGGTACAGTATAACATCATTGTTTTTCATTAACCAGACATACTTGTAACCTCTTGAGGCTGCCTGAATTGACAAATTAGCCAGGTCTGCTGTTTTGTGCAGCAAATGCACATGCACCAGCAGTTCTGCTTCTTGTGAGATCATATACAACAGCCTCCTTTTACACAGACAATGGTCTGGTGTACTATTATTGCACAATCCTTGGGAATCATGGGATATACCATAAATAGGCACATTCCCTCTAATATGGACGGTATGGGTCATTCCTATTGAATATGCCATTTGATATTTTGGTAGGGGAGTGCTCATTAAGATTTCAAGCTTTAAGTTTGAAGAAAAATGCATTAAAATGCTGCTGCAAAATTATTGGTGTATTTCTTTTTCCTGTATGATAATTCTCTGTTGCATCATTTAGTGAAACTAATACACAGTACATAATATTATCATAAGAGCTGCATTTCCTACAAATAATAAAATAATGTGGCATTCAGCTTGAGGAAAGGTTCTGTGCTCCATAACAGGTTACAGTGTACAGTACATGGATAGTTGCTTGTAGGTGAGAATCTAGATAAGAATGGGAAAAGGTAAGAAAATATGCTTTTCATGATTCACCTGACATTATTGTGCTAAAGTTTATATATTCTAGCAATTGCAACATTTCATTAAGAAGGTGTTTTATACTATTAGAACAAGACTTTGATCAGCTGTGCATTTCAAAAGATTCTTGCAACATAATTGGTTTATTACGGCAGGACATAAATTCTTGGCCCTTTATGTTTTCAAATCGGAGGCACTTGATTTTCAGTGTGAAGTACCTGCTTGGAAGAAGTTTTCAGCATTTATTTTTTCTGTTGAAGAGCTGTCTGTCACCACTTTAAGGGGCGACTAGATCCCTTTGTTGCTCTCTGCTCTTTCTTGTTCACCTCAGTGTACATCTCAAAAGAGCAATTAACAATAGAGCACCCCACCCCTGGCTTCCAGCTTGACGCCTGAGCTTTGAAGTTACTTGGGATAGGAGAGAAGAGTGTTTGGACTGATAAATCATTTAAAGCTTTGAAAATGTCACAGGAGGACAGGCACCACAAAATAATAATAAGGACCTCCCTCACATGGTCCCAGCAGGAAGATGAATAACAGCTGTGAAACTTTATCTTCTGTTTTTACATGACAATGTCAAATCGTGGTGGTGTATCTCTGGCAGTTCTGCTACAATTCCAGCTAGACAGGAATGTCCAGGGATTTCTATGAAAGTTTTACATGTGGACGTTTCTGTGGTGTGAAGTATTCGAGTACTGTCTTTTTCCTATAAATGAAAGAAAAATGCCTTCATTTTGATTAAAAGAGAATTGTTCACTAAAGACTCAATGAAGTTTAGTTATACAAAGGACATATTCAAAGTAAAGAAGCCTTATGTTTAAAAAAGCACAAAAATCAATAATTTTAATTTGGAAGCATTGTAAATTGATTTTTCAAGAAATATAGATTTTGTTCCAGGAAATGCACAATATCTTCAATTGTACAGTTTCCCTAGGAGATTACATGGCTCTCATGAGACTGCAAGAATGAACTGAGATTGTCCTGAATGGAAAAGAGAGTGGTGAATTTACTTGCAAAGTTAATTTACAGGCAAACGTAGTCTTATTGAAGATGTTTCCTTTTTGTTTGTGGTGCACAGTGTTTGTGTTTTTTAAAACATCGAAAACCGTGTATATTCTTCCTCAATTGCCTTATCAAGATCAATGTACTATACAGGTACAGTTTATAGTATATTAGCATCTCACACTCAATAATTAGACCTGACACCTGATGATCCTTTTGGTTAGACTGAATCCCATTTTGTTTGTGCTTGTTTGTAAGAGCATTTGTAAAAATCTTGAAGAGTAAGCTCACAAACTCAAAACACAAAGAACACCATATCACTCCATATGTCATCACTCCCCAGGTAAGTAAATATCACTCACTGTAAATTAACAGGTGCATCCAAAGATCCAAAGCTACAAACAGCAACATTGAAGCAACAGAAAATTTACTGAGTCCATTTAGTCCGTTTAACCCATTTGTTTTTCTAGTTCTTGAAAAAGAAACTTGCTATCAGCTTCAAGAATATGATTAGGTAGTTTGATCTATACATATTTGTATTTAGAAGTATCTCCTGTTCTTGATTTTACAGTAAATGCACTTTCATGTAGCTTTTGCTTTGTGTTCACTGCTTATGGGTGGAGTGGTGGCTCTGTGCCTGTGACTGGAAGGTTGCCGGTTCAAATCCTGCGGCTGGCAGAGGAATCCTACTCTGTTGGGCCCCTGAGCAAGGCCCTTAACCCCAACTGCTCCAGGGGCGCTGTACAATGGCAGACCCTGTGCTCTGACCCCCAGCTTCTCTCCCTGTCTGTGTGTCTGTGTCTCCATGGAGAAAAGCTGGGGTATGCGAAAAGATGAATTCCTAATGCAAGAAATTGTATAGGGTTAATAAAGAAACATTATCATTAATGTCCACTGCATAGAATCAATAAATGCTCTTGAGGATTTTGGATTCTTGAATCTAGTTCCCTCATAGCCGCTTTTTGTGCAAGGCTAAACAGGTTACTTTTATGGTAGTGCAGTGGTTAGCATTGCTGCCTCTCAGCTCTGGGCCTGGAAATCTTGGTTCACCTCTGCACTTGAGGCGGTGTCTGCCTGGAGTTTGTATGTTCTCCCCATGTTTGTGTGGGTTTGCTCTGGGTGCTCCAGTTTCCTCTCACAGTCCAAAGACATCTTGGTAGGTTAATGTGCTTGTGGAAAAACTGGCCCTGTTGTGAGTGTGCATAGGTTAGTGTCTATGTGACTGCCCTGTGATGAAATGGCTTCCTGTCCAGGGTGTATCCTGGGTTGCAAATGTTACCTGCTGGAATAGGCACTGGCTCCCCCACAAACCTGTATTTGATAAAGCAATTTGAAAATGGGTAGATGGATATCTTATTAGTGCATTGTACATTATTAACATATCATGCCTACTTTTAACTATACAGTATGTAACATTTTGTTTCCTTTATTCAAAGCTTTTCCATATGCACAATTAAATGATATACAGTATCAACATAAATACAAACATCTTTTTTATAGGTAGCCCCTTTCAACTCAGTGTTTACTATTTTTTATGCTTTTAATGTATTTTGAATTTCCAACCTACATGTGATACTTTGCACTTTCCTACTTTAAGAATCATCAACCATGTGTTGTAACAGACCTAAACAATTTCTTGAAAAAGTTCAATTTTAATCTCAATTAATTTAATTTAATTCTACAATGTTTGCTAATGGCCATGATTTGTGATCATTTGCAAACTTGAATATTCTTACTATACCAAAATCCAAATCACAAATTAGATTTTAGAGAGAAAGTCCAAAGTCTCCTGTGTTATTCCACTTACAGTACATCTTATTACACTATTACTTATTACACTTATTACATCATTCCTGTCTGAGCACTTCCCCCTTCCTCTGTATTCGCTGTTTTCATCCCATTAAAATGTTCTACTACCTGTAATCTTTTGTAAGGAACTATAAGAAAAGGTCATTGTTCAAGGATCTCTAGCAACTTAGTACAATTGGTAGAATACTGTTGGACATTGGAGATTTGTTCATCGTAAGTGCTTCTAGTTTGCAAAACACTGTTGCAATTCCTATGCTAATACTATTTAATCTAGAACTTTGTCTTTTTGCTGCCTGAATCATGAATTGTGAATCATGTTTTTGTGTTTTTGGTGAATATTAAAGTGAAATACTTATTTAGTACATCAGCAATTCCTCTTTCATTATCTAGAAGTTTCCCTTAATTGCTCCAGATATGTTTTACTTGATATTTTACTGTTCTTTTGCGGTTGTAATACTAAAAGAACCTTTTTATTAATTTTGCCCTCCATTGCAATAATCCTTTCAATTCCATCTCTTGGGTTTAAAATGTCTTTTCTCACCTGTGCCTTCAGTATACTGCATTGTACCCCTTTTCGTCAACTAAACTTTTTTTCTTTTTCATAATTTACTAAAAAACTTTATTTTTTCTTATACAATATTTTTTCATAATTGCCTCACTAAATGATTTGGGCTACTGCTTTTTTTGCTTTTGATTTACTCACTGTTGGGATGAATGTGTTCGGCACTTGAAGCAGAATCTTTTTAAACTGCTGCCATCCATTCTCCACTGATTCCATGACAGTCTTGCCCTAAAGAAATCAACAATGCCGTATGACTTTGGATTTTCTCCCTACTCCCCAGTCCTCTTCCTTGACTCTGTCCAATGAGGCAGTAGCAGCACGCTGCCCCCCTGTCCAGTAATCGCTATTAGACAGTCCTTAGGCTAAACCTAAGGACTGAGTAGTTGCAGAGGCATCTCAGGGAAAGCATTACTCAGTACATACTTGTTCATAAGAAACAGAGCATCAGAGTACTGATAGCTGAGACATGGATAGTGAGCTAAAATCCAAAATTGCCTTAGCTGTTTAGGAACAATTTAATCAAAGAAGATATAAAAGAAAGTAGGTGACTATTATCTTTTTAGTTGCCATACAGTTAAACCACACATTCCAGATTTTTGGGTTTTTGGTCTTCCTAGCAAAGCACTATCTTAATTAGTTTTAGGTGTTAATGGGCAGAAAAAAGAAAACACATGTATATACATTTATTAAAATGTTAAAATGGTCACCAAAATGTACTGTATATCTACTGTATATTGCAAACAGCTTCTTTGTAAACAGGTTTTAAAACACTACACAGTGTAAAGTCTTCTACACATAAATTCACAGTATTGACCAGTATTATGCAGACTATTTTGGTGTAGAATAGTATTTAAAA